ATTTAAATTATGAGCATCAGGACTTGGGAGATGAACAGTCAGTACAGGGCTTTCCAACCAAGCATGAGGACCTAAGTTCCACGGATCTGCAGCATGGTAGGTAAAAACCAAAAAGAAACAATCTACAGTTATCCATAACTCAGTAATATGCTTCCCGGGGAACAACACACCAATTGGGTATCCAAAACCTCATATTCATCCCCCTTTTAAAACATGCAAATGAGTAACATTGAGTGGGTTACATTTAGGAATATATATGCATATGTATATGCATTTACATATATGCATGTAACAACAATAAACTAGAGGTCATGAATTTGGAAAAAAACAAGGAGGAGTGTGTGACTGGGAAGGGGGGAAGCTGAAGAGGAAAGGGAAGAGGGAAATGATATAATTAAACCATAATCGTAAAAATAAAATAATGAAAAAAACACATTAGCTTCATCCTGGTTTTATATCTCAAACATTCAAAAGAAGATTAAGGATGCATTGTACAGCCAAATTTTAGCCACAAAATGAGAAAAAAACTGTACTAAAAGTTCACGGTGGCAAGTTAGAACATCTTTCTCCTCTGTAAGGACTATATTTCATCCTTAACGCTAAAGTCTAGGGAAACTGTTTGCTCTGTTAAACTTCATTTATATAGAATATCTGAGCCTGCTGCACCCTGGGGCCAGCTCAGGATTTCTTTATCACCAATTAGAGCTAAAATAATTTTCCAGTGCTTCCAATTATGATCACACCCCTGAGGGAACTAGCTTCTTGGGTGGGGTGAAGAGCAGAGAGATTCATATGAAAAACTCTAGTATTAAGCATCTCAGGCAAGCCAAAGCAGCTGGATGAGCAGCAAAAAGAATTCATATGAGCTTGGGATCAGATTATATGACTAGCCCTGACTTCCAAAAAAACAAGGCCAGTTAACACTTGCCAAAACTCCATAGATGACCACCACGGCAAAAAGTATAAAATCCAATGAAGAGACCAAAATCTGAAAAGCGTTTTTTCTTTAAATGCATACGTTGTGTGGTTGCAAATAATGCCGGGATGAGATAGTAAATACGTGCTTTGTACTTTCCATGAATCCAGCTGGCCAAACGAACATGGAAGAAAGAGGTTCTTTCCATGAATCCAAGTAGGCAAACGAGCACGTAAGAAAGAGGTTTGCGGTACAGCTGAGCCACATGGCAGTTCTATTTTTAATTTTTTGAGGAATCTCTGAACTAATTTCCGTGATGGCTTTATTTATTTGAACTCCCGCCAGCAGTGAATAAGGTTTCTTCTTTTCCTGCACGGTCTTCAACATTTCTTGTCAGATTTCTTTATGGTAGCCCTTACGGTGGGAGAAGGTAACTTAAAGTTTTAATTTGCACTTCATTGGTGACTGGGGTATTGAGTCCTTTTTTTAGAAAAAAATAGTTATTGGGCATTTGTGTTTCTTTCCATTTTGTTAACACGAATGTTGATGAAGACTTTTATTTCTGTGGTGTTTAATTTCTATAGTTCTTCTTAAATGCTGAGCTAAATATAGCTGATAAAATTTTCTCCTATCCAGTGGGCTGTCTGTGCTGCTGACTGGACTGTTTCTTTTGCTGTGCAGAAAACTTGTTCATTTCATCTAGTCTCATCTAGTGATGTGTGGGACTGGTCCCTGAGCTATCAAAACGCTGATGAGAAAATTCTTGCTCACAACCACTTAATTATTGAAGATTATTTCCTATGTTTTGTGTTAGTAGTTTCAGTATATATATATGTATATGTATATATATATATATACATGTATATATATATATATATATATATGTATATGATTTTAAATTATGTTGATGGGGAGGTAAGTATGTTCACATGTGTGCCAGTGCCTGTAGAAGCCAAAGGTATGGAATTCTCTTAAAGCCAGAGGTATAGGCAGGCCTGAGCTGCCTAATGTTTGTGCTATGAACCATACTTAAAGTCTCTGAAGGAGCAGTAAGCTCTCTCAACCATTGAGGCATCTTGAGATCTTCAGGAAGATGAATGACTGATCTTGAAAATATAGTATTGATCAAGTTGAACCAAACTCAAATGAAAAAGAAAAAATATCACATGTTCTCTCTCATATATAGATACTAACCTATTACATAAAGATGTATGTATATAAATAACTGTGTTGCTCAAGTTCAATATTTTAGAAAGGAGACCAAGAGAGATAAGATTAAATGATGATGAAGGACATAGTATAGGCTAAAGGATGCATGAGTCATGAAGGATTATATAAAGATTTTTTTTGTAGTTTCAAGTCCATCAGTTACCCCCATCATCACAGTAAATACATAAATTCAACTTTTTGTGATTGACTTAGCAAGAACCATTTTTGTTTTCCAAAAGAAACCAACATGTGTTATTGCTTTGAGGCAGTGATTGTGAAAGTTGGACTTCCTTTTTAATCCCATAGACCATTGATGCAATAGGAACTAAACAGTACTAGTCACTGAATGCATTTGTTACATTGGCTCATTTACAAAAACTGTTTGTTTGCTTGTTTGTTTGTTGCAAATTTGAGCTGGGTGACAGGAGGGGCTCTGTAACCTGATTTGTCTGTTGAAAACTGCATCAAACCATCTTATTTTAGTAATGCATGTTGTATTGCTATACATAAAATAAAGTATGATTTTAAAATTTAAAAGGAAAGAGCTTTGTGTGTTTGATTAAGTAAAATATAAACTGTCTAATATAACACAGAAAAAGAAAAACGTTATGTCAATGTCATATTGGTGGGCTCTCACATCAGTTGAGAAAACTTTGGCTGGTCTCTTTCTACAGCTTTACAATTTTTAATCAGTTATCCTCTTATTTAAATTATGAGCATAATTAACAGCCCAGAGTAGCTTTGGGTGGCTTCATAATCACAGTCACTCTGCTTTACCTTTCTGAGTGCTGGGATAACAAGCATGATCCAGGAGTACCACACCCAAGGAGAACAACCTTTTTAGCATATAAGAAGCAAGGGTCGTAACAGAAGTCTGAATAAAGGTGAGAAAACAAGGCTTTTTTATCTAATTATAATAACATGCAAATTCAATGACTCCTCTTTTATAGCCATTGTTGTTACATATACATATAAACAAACACATCAACACAGCCTGTAAATATATGTTTCTAGGGCTAGCTACTGGATACTGGGTAACCAATTGGGGTCTCAGCCTTGAGGAAGACCAATTCTCACCTCCTTGCACTTGTCAATTGTTTGTAGCTCATCTTGAGATGGGACCCTTTGAAATTCCCCTGCCCCTCAGGGGCTGTTTAGGCAGCCATGTTGTTAGAAGGTCCTTGGTGTAGTTTCATATCAGGGCTAGGAGTCACAAACTCACAGCAGATTCCCTGCTCCTTTGGCTCTTAACAGTCTTTTTGTTCCATCTTCTGGAATGTTCCTTGGACCTTAAGTACAATTTTGTTGTGGGTATATCAGTTCAGGCTGGGCATCCTTCAGGCACGTGTTCTCTCCATTTTGATTAGTAGTGGCTTTCATAATCATCTCCTTCTTCAAAAAAGAATTCCTATGACTAAGAATGATACCTATACTTACCTGTCAGTCTAGGTGTTTACAATGCAGTTAAAAGTTGGGAGGGTTTTTACATACGAAGTCCTTCAGAATTCATTTAAATCTTCATTTTTCAATATCAGTCCTGCCATAGGTAAGTATAGGAAGAGACATCCAGTACTGAACACATTGTGGTGGGTACCTGAGAAGGTCAGTCTGTATTAGTATCTGACAATTCCAACGTCATATTCAGTCTCTAAAACTGAAGGACTTTTCTCTGGGCAACCTTAAAGGCAAGATATTAACATATTAGATCTGGAGAAGTCCAGTCTAACACAGAATCTTGGTTTGAAGAAATGCATTGATAAGATTATCTTCTGAATAATAAAATTGCAGTTAATAGTTATATTTTATATACTTGTGTAGGTACTAGACATACATATTTCAGATGTATTATCTTATTTGACCTGCATAAGGATGAAGTTATTATTATTGTTCTCTTGCCAATAAGAGGGTTGAGGCTTTGAGACAGTAAAAGCTTGCACAAGTTCATACTAATGGCCAGGGAGAAAACCAGAACTCATTTTAAAAGAATATTCAAATGATTTGGCACTCTTTAGAACAGCTGGGATGATAACAAGGATAGTCTAGTTGACAAGGAATTTAATGAGAGAATTTTAGCTCAAGCCTTAAAACAATCTTGAAAATAGAGTAGATGTTTCTCAAAGAGAACTACACACAAGTTACTTTGTATGCATTCTTGAGTAAAAAGAATGTGTTCTAGGGTAGAAAAATAACAGTATTTCAAAAGTATTTATCAGGTGATAAAACTATTATCTGATACAATTTTTAGGACTTTGTGCTGACTGGTTTTATGTCAACTTGACACAAGCTAGAGTCATTGGAGAGGAGAGAGCCTCATTTGGGAAATGCCTCCGTGAGGTCAGGCTATGGGCAAGCCTGTAGGACATTTTCTTAATTAGTGGTAAATGTAGGATGGTCCAGCTCATTGTGGGTGGTCCCATCCCTAGGTAGTTGTCCTAGGTTCTATAGGAAAGGAGATGGGGTCTTGACATTAAAATAGTATAACAGCCAAATAATCAGAATGAATAATTCAACAGAACACAATCTAAAAGCAGCCCTTAGTATACATATCAATTTGTGACAAATGACAATTTAGATTGACAAAAGATAGTTTGACTAATAGATAATTGGACAACTGACTCATTTAGGAGGGGGAAAGGCAGATTGAAAAAAGGAAAAGAAGGAAGGAGGAAACAAACACCTGAGTGTTATATGAGTCAAGCCAGTAAGCAGCACTCCTCCATGCCCTCTGTATCAGTCCCTGCCTCCAGATATCTGTCCTGTTTGAGTTTGTCCTAAATTCATTTTACATTGAACTGTGATATGAAAATTTAAGGGAAATAACCCCCACCAGCTGGACAAGTTGCTTTGGTCACAGTGTTTTACCATAGCAATAATATCCCTGACTAAGACAGGACTAGATTTTTTTTATGAAACAATATTTTTAAATGGTTGTATTGATGTTTCTGTTATGTTGGTAACTAGAGGTGATCCAGAGCAATTGTATATATAATAATTATAATGTATATTATACGATAATATACATTATATAACATGCAGTATACTATATAATTATAATTAAAAAACAGTAACTCTTGTCCCCTTGTTGCACTGTTCTGTAGTTACAAACACCTAGGTTTCAGCTATTCTATACCATCAAATGAGAGGAGGGAGCAGAAGAAGAGTGTGTTTAAGGACATTATCTGGACATTAAATGTTCCACTGCCACATTTCTAGCTGTGTTAATTACCCTATTGCATTACAAGTTGCCCCTACATTTAACAAATTTAAACAACCCAGAGACATATGGTTCAGGGATATGCACATGGCACAGTCCACTCTGGAATGCAGTCTTATGAGGCTGCAAGCAATGTTTTAACTGAAAACGTTTGCTCATCTTAAGCTACAGTGGAAGAAATTTGTTCTTAGATTGCATTACAAATAGTAAGATTCAGTTCTTTGATGATAGTTACCTTGTTCCTCTCCAATCTCTTCCTAGTGTTCATCATACACAGTTGCACAGAAATGTAAAAGAACATGAGGAATGTGAGCTTCTTACAAAGTGGCCATATGAGTGGTTAAAATAGTAATTGTTCTAGTAAGTAAGAAAGGTCATACAGCATCTTAGGGAATAATTCATAGCTTCTGTCATGAATTTTTAAAAATGGATTGCTTAATCATTTCTTATAAATACTTTGTGAGCCAAGGAATGTATTCCATTATACAGATGAAGATTTTAGGAGATTTTAGGCCTCAGTTTCATTAAGTAGTCTTTACAAAGCTCCAATAATTGTATTGGGTTGAAATTATATGGGAAGTAATAGACAGAGCAGCCCTGTTAGAATCAGTCATCATATTATTTTGGTCTAAATTTGAACAAATATTCATATAGATGAGTATGAGGTCTTCCACAAAGGACACTACTGTATAATGAAACAAAGGAAATAAGTAGAGTGAAAATAACCTTTGCAATGAAAGAAAATCCCTGCCAGCTAGTCTGACACCTAATTCATATTTAGAATCTATGAAGAGATCAAAAGCTAAACATTCAAAGAGTAAATAATCCAATCAGTAAGTAGATAAATGAACAAAAACATTTTCAAAGACATAAAAGAAGTCAAAATATTGAGATATTATTTAATATCTTTAGTCATTAGGGAAATGAAAATAATTGATACTCTTCTACGAGAATGGTTATTATCCAAACACATACACACAAACACACACACACACACACAATTGTTGGTGAAAATGTGGAAGATAGGAACTCTTACATTTTTTTTGTGGGGCTATGAATTACTGCAGCCACTACAAAAACAGTACATCACCCTTGCTTTTTTACCTCTAAGAACCAAAGTCAGAATGCAATAAAGATGGGGTGCACATCTATTATTTTGGCTTATTATTTTAGTGTGAAAAATCATCATGACCAAGGCAACTCTGATAAAAAAAAGCATTTAATTAGGTACTTGCTTATACTTTCAGAGCTTTAGTAAGTTGACATTATATGGGAATCTTAGCAGCAGGTAGCGCAGACATAGCAGACATGTTGCCAGAGAAGTAGCTGAAAGCTATGTCCTGAGCTACATCAAAGACAGAAGCTGGGCCTGGCTTGGGCTTTTGAAAACTCAATGCCCACTCCCACCTCCTAGTGACACACTGCCTCCAACAAGGTCATACCACTTAATCCTCCTAAGCCTTCCCTTCTCCAATAATGCTACATCCCTGGGCTGCCTCCCATGACTAAGCATTTGAATACATCCTGATTCTCTTGACACTACCTTCAGAGTGCTGGGATTATAGGCATATGTTACATCATTTAGCATAAAATGGGGCTTTAAAGAATGCATTACACAAGAATTTAGAGGTTCCGTACTAATCAGTGGTTGAGATAAGAGCAAGAAGAACAAGGAGAAGTGTGTGGGGAAGGGGGGGAAAGGAGGGTGGGCTATCACAGTAAGGCA